ATTGTAGAGGAAAAGCTAATTCGCCTTACTTAATATAGTTCATTGGTTGAACATAATTTCATTCTATGTTGTCACAACTCAAAATGATAGATGGAAACTGTTGCATTGATTTTCTTCGTTGAGCCAAGACATTTGTTTTTAGAGTGTAACATGGATGTAGTGTTTCAGTGCTGGTGGTTTTTCATTAAAGTGTTGATCTACTAAATTAAGACCTACTTTAGAGGTGATGGATAAACTGTGTTGCTGAAAAAATCCTACATGTTCACAACCTGTGTTGCTGAGTTAATTTTGACAATTTTGCTGTTGGTTCCTGGGGCAGGGAGCTATAAAACAACACAACAACCTAACTCCAGGGAAGTACAATTTTAATATATTGGAACAAGTACTTAATAAATGTATTAACTAATTATAGTTATATATATATATATATATATAGCATTGCATTTAAAAACAGACAAAGTCCATGTGGTCTAACGGTTTCTCTGATCTTTATGATCACAAACCTAATGGAAGACTTACAGCTTGTGAGTTCCTGAAAGTCTGCATGTTGGAGGTTTCCACAGACTCTTGGAAGAGTTTTCACATGAATTCACTTTGCCAAAAGAATTACTACTATACTTGTTGGTTCACTTGTTGGCCCCTACAAGGCGTCAATAAAGGTGAATACTTCATGTGCTTGTTAGGAAAAGTTCAATAATGAGACCACTTTTACTTGAACTACTGTTGATATTATGGACGTATTATTATGAAGCAGTTTAATGATGGAACACTGAATATAAAAAAGAAATGGAAAGCAGTAGTGTGGGAGGGCTAATGTAGGCAACAATGACAAACAACAAGCTCTTTTGAATGGAGAGATTATTGATGAGAACCTACACAACAGAAATGTATTTGTCGTTGGAGATCATGTGGGAGGAGAGGATAACCATAAAAAAGATGCAGAACAACCAGACCTTTCTCTTCTCACATAAATACTTTTAGTTTCTATGTAGTGATGTTGGGGGAGCTGGAAAGGAGACAGACAGATAAAAATCTTTAGGGGCACTGCTTTTTGAGAATTTGAACATCCAGGAACAGCATTAAAGACTGGGAGAAAGCAGATATCCATACTAGTTTAAACAGCTGCGAGTGTGTATTTAAAATAGAACTAAAAGGATGAACAACTGAGGAATGTGTGAGTGAACACGTACATGAAAAAAAAAATTCCTATCTTATCTGTTATCTTATTGTATTTCTAAATTAAAATGTGTCCGTCTTTCAAATTTATAAAAAACGTATTAGACATGGTTATAACATGGATCATTAGGGATTTTGTATTATTATTTTCATTCTTAATAATATAGGATACAGCACCTAAAATAAAAGCAAAACCTGAGGTCTGAAGGCTTCCATGGAAGAGGATGATCCTCACGGGCACGCCCACGCTTCCCAGACGCGAGCACGTAAGGTTATACCCGTTAAGGACATGACGTCAGTACGTGCTTTAGCCAGCCCGAAAATGTTCTCTCGTGTTGTTGGGTTTCGAAGGAGCGCAGGACTTTGCGATGAAATAATACATTTTTACCCGTGAGGAAAACAAAAATAAACCGCATGTTTTTAAACTGAAGTTGTTCGCCTTCCCATTGAGTGGAGAAACTGTGTTTTTGGGAGACTCCAACGGGAAGTTTGTGTGATCGTTTTTCCCGGAGTGATGTCGAATCCTGGGACTCGGAGGAACGGGTCCAGCATCAAAATCCGACTGACAGGTAAAAAAAAAAAGGAGAGAAAAAAGGAAAGCGCTTACGGTGCATGTTTTAAGTGGAGCCTGAACGCCTCAGCTACAAGCCAGTGTTGTAAAGTGTTGATCTAAGCCAGCCGAGCAGCACACCGCGGAGTGTCTTTGAGGCTCTCGGCTCTGCTGTTTGCCCAAACATCCGGTTTTTGTGTGGCAAACACAGCAGCACAACTGCTAGCTCGTTAGCTGGGATGCTAACCAAATTACCGAGAGGACAGTGGATAAGCTGTCCACTGTCCCGTGGGTTTCACAGCCGAGACCCCCGCCTGCTCTCCTCTTTCGGTGTCACTGAAACCGCTGGCTCTCCAAAGCCACGTTCAGAAACTTTATCCACTGCTAGCTCTTGCTACGGAGCTAGCTAGCGTTAGCTGATAGTAACACTGTAGTTCATGTTGACCGCTAACGCTGCTAGCTACACCCATATTTTATTTATTTATTGTGTGTGTGTGGGGGGGGGGGCTGACCACCAGCCGAACCCGTCGCTTGACCTGAATGCGACGAGCTCTGTACCGGGGATGAAGGCAAATGTCGAAGTACAGCCTCTCTGAAAATCAATGTGTCGGTAGATCTGACATGCTGGCCTGGATTATCAATTAATCGATGTGTATCGATCGGACAGAAACACAACGGATCCTCACTCAGAGGATTCACACGGTGGATCTTCTCGGGCACCCTGAACTCAACTCTGATATTCTGCTCGTTTTTTTGGGTCACTGTCTCCTCTGTAGGGCACATAGGAGTCTCTCTCTCTCTCTCT